TGTGGATTTCTTGTAAGAGATTGCATTTCTCCTCTTTGCCCTTTGGTGGGATCTGAGAGAGAGCAGCTGTTCCAGTGGAGCGTGTTTTCAGCGGGCTTTCCCGAGCCCTTTCGTCTCAGGAATCTGGACTATGTATTTGTTTAGCTGTTCACGTGTTGCTGTGGAATGTCAAGGAGAAATTGGGGGCCTGAACCCAGATCTGGAGAGCCAAGCATAAAATAATGTTTACATACGGCGTAAGTGTCACTGGAGAATTTCTGCATTATATCAAATAATATGTCAAAGCCTTGTTTTTACAGCTACAAAAGCTGATACGCACGGGTGGAATGTCTTGTCTGGTCTCAGTCCTCTTTGTGCAAGTATCAGAGTTTGCAATTGAGGGTAAAGTAAAAGAATATGGGGAAAATGAAAGAATAAAAGGTGTGCGTGCGCTTAATTACATTAATAAAATCAAAAGCCTGAAAAGTCTGAGCAACAACTTCTTCATCAACACCTGGTATACTAGAACTCATATGTGATTCTCTTAGCTTATGAAGAAATAAGATCATTCTAATTTATAAAATAGGAAGTCGGTTTATGGAGCACACAGTCCCAAGGGATGGTATTGACTAAAAATATAAATGTATTCCTCTCATAGAGACATGTTTAGATTAATCATAGATAGAACAATAATGGGCTATTAAGGGATTTAAAGGATTTGAGGGTAAGCCATTAACCTTTCGAAGTTTATAAGGAATTCAGTTCTGACCAGCCACATGTTACTGGGGGAGACAGAACAGGCCTTATGTTAGGCTGTAATCCAATTTTTACTTTACCTTCCTTCCTTTTTAAAATAGACTTTATTTTTTAGAGCCCCTTCTTTTTTTAAAAAAATAAACCAAAATATATAGTTTCCCTTGGATGCAGAAAGGGTTGGCTGATTCACCAGTCATTTTAAGTTATTTCCATCTGTTGGCCACTGGCATAGTAGAGCTGTAGGTTCTTAAGAGGTCAGGAAGACAAGATTGGCTTGAGCTGTTATGAAATAGTCCAGTGTGGAGACAAGATTTTAATTTGTGGAAGGTATCAGAAATTGTTGACCAAAACAAATTATTAAAAAGATAACAAAAAGGTAGTCTTGTTGTTCAGGTTGGACTTCATAGGACCCAGGAGGGTATGCTGGAATCAGTTTGTACCAATGAGGGTCAATTGTTAAATATTCAGGAATTTGCTGGCCAGTTGTTAAACCATTGGTAGCCTGAAGTCAGCCATGATGGGATCTTTTTCTTTTATCTTTTTGAGGGGGAGGGTATGAGGGGAGCCAGTGTACCAGCACACCTCTGGCAAGGGTCAGTTTTATCTAAAGCCTGGAGCCCCAGTGTTCACTACATCCTTGAGTTATCAGATCCTGAGCAAGCTCACACTCTTCCAAATTTTAAAAAAGATTGATTTGGATTACAAAGTAAAATTATAAATACTCTCTAGGTATGTGTCTGGGGAAGGGGACCATACCTTTCCAACGAAAGATATTCTTGTTTATTTGGGGGCCATCCTTCAAGGTACTGAAGTCATTGATTAATTCATTATCAATAGGTTGTTAGGATAAACAAGAAATCTGCCACCGGAAGTAGTATGGTCTGGATGGTTAGCTTTCTTAGATTATGTAAAAACCCATACTCCTCTCCAATACATTTTTCTAATACCTAGATATTATCTTCCAGAAGACAGTATTGTATGCAATGCCAACAAATTCCTACTCCCCAGCCATTTCTTAGTATCATGCTGTTGGCTCTCATCACCCTTCTCATAACATATTTCAGTGCACAAGTTTGCTGATTATTAGATACCATTTGGGTTGGCAGCTTCCAGATATAAGTATGAGTCTTGAAATCTCATCAGTAACCTGTTCCCAAATCCCATTTAGGGCAGACTATTTGGGGACAATAAAGGTGCTACCCAAGCTTTTCTTTATTTCTGGTTTCTTGCCTAGAGTTAGTTAGAGTTTGTCTATATATTTTTAGGCCAAGCTTGGCCCTTGTTTATCTCTGTGGATAATCATGTCCCCTTGCTTTCATTTTTGTCTAGGTCAAGGGCATCATGAGAGAGGTATACTTTTAAGATACCTGCTCTAATTCACTTTGTGCATTTAATTTCACATATGCTTTCTCCAAATACTATATGACTGTCAATATGGTTCAGATATTGGAGTTTTGTCTACCTTTAAGGTAAAACATTCCACATTTTAGCTTCTCTTCAGACTTCTCCATTCTTTTTTTTTCTTCTCACTTTTCCGATCATATCTCTTAAGCTTTTAAAATATTCAAAAGATATAAGCATTTTCCTTCATCTCATGGCTTTTGGCATTTCTGCTCTTCTACTGTCCTGGGTACACTAGGACATCTTTAATCCAGACATTCCTCTAAGGAATTACTTAAAAAAAAAATTAGGGGCCAGCCTTATGGCCTAGTGCTTAAGTTCAACGTGGTCTGCTTTGGTGGCCTGGGTTTGGTTCTCAGGCGCAGACCTACCTACTCGTCGGCAGCCATGCTGTGGCAGCGATCCACATACAAAATAGAGGAAGACTGGCACAGATGTTAGCTCAGGGCCAATCTTCCTCAAGCAAAAAGAGGAAGACTGGCAACAGATGTTAGCTTAGGGCAAATCTTCCTCAGCAAAAAAAAATTTAAAAAAAATTTTATTGTGGAGATAGAATAACATAATGAACCCCCATTCATGGACCCATCACCCAGCTTCAAAAGTTAACAATTCACGGCTAATCTTGTTTCATTTATATACTCCTATCTACCCCCCCATATTATTTTCAAACAAATCCTCCCAGATATATCATTTCATCCAAATATTTCAATATATAACTCTATAGGATGAGTACTTTTTAAAAATCACAATACCACTTGTCATACAATAAAAAATTAACAGTAATTATTATTATTATTATTATTTTTGTGTGAGGGAGATCAGCCCTGAGCTAACATCCATGCTAATCCTTCTCTTTTTGCTGAGGAAGACTGGCTCTGAGCTAACATCTATTGCCAATCCTCCTCCTTTTTTTTCCCCAAAGCCCCAGTAGATAGTTGTATGTCATAGTTGCACATCCTTCTAGTTGCTGTATGTGGGACGTGGCCTCAGCATGGCCGGAGAAGCTGTGCGTCAGTGTGCGCCCGGGATCTGAACCCAGGCCGCCAGTAGCGGAGCGCGCGCACTTAACCGCTAAGCCACGGGGCCGGCACAACAGTAATTTTTTAATATCAAACATCCAGTTAATGTTAAATTTTCCAATTGTCTTATGTCATATTTTTTGTTTGTTTTTTTGTGAGGAAGATTAGCACTGAGCTAACCTTTTTTTTGCTGAGGAAGATTGGCCCTGGGCTAACATCCATGCCCATCTCCCTCTACTTTATATGTGGGATGCCTGCCACAGCATGGCTTGATGAGCAGTGCATAGGTCCACGCCTGGGATCCGAACCCACAAACCCTGGGGTCCAGAGCACGCAAACTTAACCACTACACCACTGGGCCGTCCCCTATGTCATATTTTTAAAGTTTATTTGAATCAGGATCCAAATAAGGCCCACAATATTGCAATTGGTTGGTATGTCTTTAAATCTCTTTTAATCTATAATTACCCTTTCATATCTCTCTCTCTCGCAATTTATTTGTTGAAGAAACTGATTTGTCTGTCCTGTAGAGTTTCCCATAGTCTGACTTGGCTGATTGACAAATGGCATCATCTAACACTCTGCTTTGGCCTCTGCATTTCCTATAAATTATTACTTAGCTCTAGAGACTTGATCAGAGTCAAGTTCAGTTTTTTTGCCAAGACCCCATCTTGGGTGGTGGTGTGCTCCTCCATCAAGAGTCTCATAATTCTGGTTTTTTAGTAATGTTAGCAGCTGTTGATGCTCAGTCCCTAGATCCTACCTTTGTTTTTTAGCTATAAAAATGAAGGAAGTTCTGATACATTCTCCCTTTCCCTAGCTCCTGGCAACTACTAATCTACTTTCTATCTCTATATATTTGCCTGTTCTGGACATTTCATATAAGGGGAATCATATAATATTTGTCCTTCGGTGACTGGCTTCTTACACCTAGCATAATGTTTTCAATATTTATCCATATTGTAGCACATATCAGAACTTCATTCCTTTTTATAGCTGAATAATATTCCATTGTGTGGATAGACCACATTTTATTTATCCATTCAATAGTTAATGGTTACCTTTGTTTTTAAAAACTAGTTTCTTTTTTTTTTAATAATTTT